AAACGATCAAAAAGTGTATGATGTAGACAAAAAAGGCGTTGACTGTCGAAGGTTGCAACTCTTCCGAATAGTTGAATAATTTTACTTTAGATACTAAATTTTTCGGGTGCGGCTTTTTAGATTACAGAAAAACAAAAACATTGCGGCTTTTTGAATAAGTAGTGACAAATCGAGTGGCAGTTGGTTAGATTACCGCATCTAAAACTTAAACAATCTAACTGTAGAATTCTATTTAAAGTAATCCTTTTGATGTGTATCAAGAACTTAGTTTAACAATCTGATGCTTCAATTGAATGAATGAAGTAACTTTCTCAACAGAATTTGTATTTTTCTTCCCAATCCTCAAATTCTTTTTGATATATTAAAATAACTTTCTTTTTTTTAATTTTTTCCAAAAAATTTTTTAGTTACATTTTTTCCATTCTATTAAGCATTATTTTTCTTATTTAAAACAAATGGAAATCTAGTTGGCAACTACATCTCTCGAATCGAATTAGTTATTAAAACTTTTAAATACAAACTTTGCTGAAATTGTTTGATAAATTTATAAAACAAGAATCTGTAGAAAAATAAAAAGATAACTGTAGAAAAGTTTTCGCTGATTTGCATAAAAATATTTCATTAGCTTTTAATTTCTTTGTTTTTGCCTCCACAAAATCTTCTCTCAAATATTTTGCAGAATTTTAATTTGTTTTTCTTGATTTAATTTTCTGGGTAATTTCTTTTCAAATCATTAAAAACTAACCCCATCTAAATTTTTACTTTCGAAGCATTCAATTCAGTGTTTTGTTGTTTATGTACTTTACAGGTAACAATTTGTATATAAATGTAGTATATGTTAAACGATGGCAATTGTTTATGTAAGACGAATGTTGTGGTAATCGTATTGCTAATTCTGACAAATTAACAGGTTTTTCAAATTTTCAAAGTGTAGCCAGTTCTCAGAAAGCATGAAAATTTTATCTCTTTAAAATTATCACAAAAGAGCAAAGAAGAAATGGGGATTTAATTTTACCGTGTTTAGTGTTTAAAAATACCCGAGACGGGGGTCGAACCCGCAATCTTCTCCTTAGGAGGGAGATAAATGAACCATCATTCTGCCCGGGCGTTTAAATGAAAAATCTTAAAGTATAAAAATAGTAAAAAATAAAAGTAAAAATTATTTTTGACACCACTTACGCACAATTTACTAGTCACAATTTACTAGTATTGTCTTAATACTTCAAGAAAAATCTACAGTGTTTTTTTTTTTTTTAATAAATTTTGAGTGATCCAGAGACCGTTTTGATTTGTCTGAAAGTTACCTCTAATTAAAAAATATAAGTCATTAACTTCATATTTGACTTTCGTAGACTTTTCTCTGTTCTGAATGATATTAAATCAACTCTGTTTTCTGATTAATTACCCATTTTTTTTATTCCAAACCAGAAATAAATGTGTGTTTGACACACCTTCATTCAACACATAATATAATGCTTATCAGTAGGCAGATTTGAGGTAAACAATTTAGAAGTAATTTATTACGTTTTATATATTTTTCTCTCACTGAATTTTTATTTTTTTTTATTTTTACGATTATCCTTCAATTATTGCTTTAAATACTTACATCCAATTCATACTACGTGAATCCTCAAAGAAATTTCTAGAAACTTCCAAGATAGAAAAATTATATTAAATTGAATGTGGGATTTTCCTTAAACAACTAAAAAAATGAATTAAAGTCCTATGGAAATTTATTATTTTATGCCAAGATACATACAAATAAGAAATCTAAGAAAGTCAAAAAGTAAGTTAAATTAGGATTCAATTAGATTGGCAATAGGATCTTACAAAACAAAAAATCTAGTTTTTGAATTTGTTCAAAACAAAAATTTAGGAGCAGTGTTTCAAATAATTCAAGAAAGGTCTAATATAGTTTTGATGCAAATATTTCTTTAACTTTTGATATTTTTTTTTTCAAGCCTTGAGATCCAGTATAAGTTATTATTAAGTCCATTTTTTTATTTTTAATGCGGAAAATCTAGCCAACTGCCACTCGATTTGTCACTACTTATTCAAAAAGCCGCAATGTTTGTTTTTCTGTAATCTAAAAAGCCGCACCCGAAAAATTTAGTATCTAAAGTAAAATTATTCAACTATTCGGAAGAGTTGCAACCTTCGACAGTCAACGCCTTTTTTGTCTACATCATACACTTTTTGATCGTTTTTCTTGCTTTAACTTTTGCTAAAAAACAATTGAAAAAAAATTATAAAAAAATTGTAACTAATTATTCATCAATTTCAAGTTGCATTTTACAATTTACAAAGATCTTTGGACCAATATCCTGTCAATTATTCTTTTGTTCCAACGTTTTTTTACCGCAATTCTTGATCTGTAGCCACATAAGCCTTAAAACAATTCATTGGTTTTAGTTCTTCAAGTAACAAAATAGTATAAAAGATTACTGTAAAATCTCAAAAATTAAAAAACAAACCTTTTAAAGATTCAAAGAAAATATTAAAAAAAGAAACCAAACAAAAAAAATAAAAATGAAATTCAACTCAATTGCTCTTCTCTTGATCTCTCTTGCTGGACTCTCTAGTGCTGGGTGGTGCGGCCACAACAACGACTGTGAAGGTCTCTCTGGTCGACCTGCATTTGGAAACTCTGCAAAGTAAATCAGCTCCAATATTTTTTTTTTTTTTTTTCTTGTTGTATATGGACTGCAATTTTATATATATATTTCATTTTGTTTATGATTGTAAATCTTAAAATCTTTTTTTTTATTCAAGTATTTAACAATTGAATAAATTACCTTAAAACTGTTAAAAGTAAAGTATTTTCCTTTTTTTTTTTATTTTTTTTAAAAATTTTTGTCATTCTAATTCAATAACCATCTTGCTTTCACAAATAAATATTTAAAAGAAATATAAAAAGGATGAATCATTATTGGTAATTTTAATTAAATTTTAGAACTTACTTATGTGGTATTGATGTGGGGTAAAAGAGAATGACAACCTGTCCTAAGTCATGAAGACAAAACTTTGAAAAGTTTATCTCAGGAAACTTATATTTAGTAACACTAATAACTTATTATTAATAATGCAGTTGTGTACAGTTAAGGATTTTAAATTTCACATAACAGTTAATTACATTCGTAGTGTCATACATTACATTGTACCCACCGAAAAAAAACCTCGGTAATATGTGTAAAATTTTTTGGTAATTTTTTTTTAAATTTTATTCTCTTCTAAAAAAATTTTTTAATGTATTTCTTATTTGCAGATCGAAAAAGTATACTAAAATCGGATTGCAGAGACAGGTAAATGAAGGGCCAGCACTATGCAAATGCATTAGCCACACTGGTGCAGGTTTTCCTAATATTACTTCGTGTGATATTATTACCATCACCGGAGTCCACCCTATTAGAAAGCAACAACAAATAGAAATACTTTGCATTAAAACTTTTCTTTCCAGCTCATTCTGTTCCACATGTACTCGACTTTTTTCACTGTAATTGTTAGTATCAACGAAACTTTCAACTGCTTTGTGAGAAATATTTTCAGAGTTGCTTTCCGAATCATGAAATTTTAATTGAGTTTCAGTTTTAAGACATTCACTCAGCTTTTTCCCTGACGTTTTAACATCATGATAAATCCTTTTCAGTTAAGAATTTAATTTTATATTTGAATAATTTAATTATTTACTTGTAGTATGCAAATGATATGAAAGCTGTTGGCATAAGTATAGTTGTCAAGCAAGCGAAAACAAATGCAGCACCTGCAAGGGTTCCTCGTTTGTACCATAACACAAGACAAATATCATATGAGCTCCGTAAGCCATACACCTCCCCATAACTATTAGTCTAAAGTTTAATATTATAATTGATTTTATTGTTAATTTTTTTTTTTTTTTTTTTT